TTGTTTTAGTTGGTTTTCCACATTGCACACTAACAAAATGGAGTTTTCTAGACAGGAGAAACCCTGTAGACTTGCAAAATGTTTGTTATTACAAGCTTTATAAGCAACCTGAATTTTTACTTTATTTAGCCACACTTGATTATGCCTCTTATGTTAAGTGTAACAAAATTAAAATCCAGAAGTAAAATCTCAATAACAATACTCATTCTAAAGGACTTCTAAATTTCACCCTGTTCCCCCAAATGGTTTTTATTTGAGTTCAAACTATTTCCAAGGTCTGATGATCAGATGCAAGTTTTTATTGTTGGTTGCTTTAAATAGACTCAGATAACAAGCTTGTTTTAGTTTAGAAGAGAGGATGAGGCAGCCTATGAACTACTGAGAAAATTGCAGTGTTCTAACACTCTGAAAAGAACCTCTGGGAAGTGCACTATGCTCAATGAATTACCATTTTTATGAACCTTGAGATTTGGTTTGAGTTGGTGGGAATTCACCTATTTCCTCCTTTGCCCACAAGAAATTTGCTTTAAAATTAAGACAATAATTTACATCTTAAATTCCTATTTACAGTCCAGATTTGGATTTAGAGGTTTTCTTTCTTTCTTTCAGTAAACTAATATATCTTAGATTGAGTATATGATTAATTCCTGTAAGTTTGGGGAAAGATTTAGGTAGATCATTTCAAAGCCCTCTGATGATATTTCTTCCTTGTTGACTCTTGGCAACGCTGAAAACCCCTCAAGAGAAATGACTCCCATTTCTCACAAGAGGCCTGTCAAAATTGAGAATGAAGAAAACTAAGCTCTGCTTAAGACTGTGACACTTTCTTAACAGTATGTTTTAGACTTGAAAGCTCTTTTTCAACTTTTTCACTTGCATTTGTACACTATAAGCTTTTACTAATAAATACACTCAATGCTAAAAGAGGTAACAAGGGTTAATAATACAGGATTACATCTTTGCTTCTACCTCAACTTACTTCCTCTCACTGAAAATATTTAAATATTATTACTGCTTATCCATTTGGAATTCCTTTTATTACATTACAAATTTGGTTCTAAAGCCACATCTGTCATTTCCCCAAAAATCAATAACTATTTCTTTTGTGTCTTTTAAGTACTGATAGCACAAAAGTGGAATTGTGGTATAAAGGATTCCTCTTCTAGCATACTCCTCTTCAAGTAATTATTCAATCTAATTTGTGTTTAGAGTTGTGCTGTGGTCTTTATTTAGGATGATGTTTACGATTTCACCCTCATGCTCTTTCATATGATCCAAGAGATTCTCTTTGCTGGTAGATTCGAACCCACAAATACAACAACAGAAGAGTAAAACGCAATATTCCGTACCATGAGGGGCCGGACTCGAGTTTTTTTCTAAACTATATGAGGTATTACTTGTAGGGCTCAATTTCTCATTCTCACTGGGACCTTTAACTTCACCAGGAGTCTGGGAAATCAGCTCTGAGGATGACACCAAATTTTCTGAACATCCAGTGACAGGATCGGCTCTTTCCTCACTCCTGTGTAGTGGAGTCTTTTCAGAGGATTTACCCAGAACTCTTAAAAAACAAAACAAAACACACCGAACAGTGAGTTGGTTATAATATAGGGCTATATGTAATCCTAACTTTATATATAACAACAGGAAAGGGGTAGGATCAAATACCTGCCACTTTGTGAAATCGCATCATTAATAGCCTTGTTTACTTGTTCATAGTTATAATTTTGGTCACTGGCATGCTTCCACATATGAGACTTCAAAGAAGGAGGATGGCTGCATACATACCCACACAGAGAGCATCTAAAAGACAAGTAAGAGGGAAATCAGATCAATCCTATGACATCATTTACAAAAATTATGGTGATTCTATAAGCAGTTATTATATTTCTTTGAAGCCTTACTAGACGTATTTCACTAAATCTAAGATTGTCACTGAATTTAAGGGACATATTAATTTCAGAGGCTAAATGTCCTAGATTAGAATCCTAGAATCAATGAAATAAATCTTACATTATAAAGAATTTGTAAGAATCAAGACAAACATCCCAGATTACTTTAGCTATTAGAGTATTTGGAAATATTTCTAATATAGTAACATATAAAGTCCTTGCTTTAAATTATTAAACAACATGAAAAGAAATATACACAAAAATCAATACTCCATAACACTCTATTTCTTAAGACAGAAAAAAGGAAATAAATTTCTACATGAACTCTGATTATTTATAGAACCACATAAAATGGTAAAAAAAGTAGTTGTCCTGAAAAGCTTCAAAAATTTTGATTTCATAAATAAAATAATAAACTTAAGAAGTTTCTATTCAAAATTACTTCACATAATTGGGTACACTTGATAAAATCTAAACTGAGTGAAGTAATTAAAAAAATTAACAGACTATTTTCAGAGCACTTACTTGCAAAGTAAGGTTTATCCCTACTCTCTCCTGCATCCAGTTCCTATTATTAACATCTTGCATCAGTGTGGAATATTGATTACAACCAATATTGATACATTATTAGTAACTAAAGTTCACAGTTTACATTAGGGCTCATTCACTGCATTGTACAGTTCTATGTGTTTTGACAAATATATAATGTCGAGTATCCACCATTACAATATCATACTGAGTAATTTCCTTGCCCTAAATATCCTCTGTGCTCTACCTATTCATCCATCCCACTCACTGAATCCCTGGCAACCACTGATTCTTTTACTGTCTCTACAGTTTACCTTTTCCAGAATGTCACATAGTTGGAATCATATAATATGTAGCCTTTTCAGATTGGTTTCTTTCACTTAGCCATAAGGCATCTAAGGTTCCTCCATGTCTTTTCACGGCTTGATAGCTCCTTCCCTGTTGCTGAATATTATTTCATCGAATGGATGTTCCTCAGTTTGTTTATCCATTTGCCTACTCAAGGACATCTGGCTGCTTTTAAGTTTTGGCAATTATGAATAAAGCTGCTATAAACATTCATGTACAGGTTCTTGTGGATATGAGTTTACATCATTTGGGTAAATACCTTGGAGCACAATTTGCTGGACAGTATGGTAAAATTATGTTTATTTTTCAGAAAACTACAAATGTACTTTTATTTAAAAGACATTATATTAAGCATTCAATCACAAACCTAACAAATCAGGTAACTTACCTGAACTCTTCCCCACAATAAGAGAAATGTTCAGTAATAATGAAGCACAAAGGAAATCAAAAGGCTTAAGAGTAAAGAAGGCAAATTTTGCAAGGACTAAACTCTTATTCTAACCCACTTTTAACTTTATGATGACATTCAGCAGTATTATCTTGTATGTTCTGAAGCTTCAAGTCCAAAGCCAATGAAGGGCTTCTTACCTCAAGAAAATATCAGGGCACTTACAGGTAATAAACATACAATTTTTGAAAGAACTTCCCAGAAATTCAAACATACAAAAATATGTACAATTATTATTAATGATCAGAGAAATGAGTCAAACCCATAAAAGTAACAATGTTAGTAAGTCTGATAATACCATTTTTGCACAGATATGGAGAAATGGAAATAGACAAATTGCATGTATGTATGTACAAGCACTCTGAAGAATAATTTGGTAACATCTGTTAAGACTGAAGAGGCACACACCTGTGATCCTGCAATTCCAGTTTTCCAGGGGTCTACCCTGGAAAGACATTCTTACACTGTTGATAAAGATACATATGCAAGAATAATCACTGTAGCTGTGAATAATAAAAACAAGGCCAGAGCCCACAACCAATAGTTTTCCACATATGGAAATAAATTGATTTATTTTCATATAATGGAACATTATACAGTGATTAAAATTAAAGAACTAGATATACACTTACCACCACAAACCTATGTCAGTAATGATCAGTGGAAAGAAAAAGTGAGTAACAAAAGGAGTTGTTTGGTATATCATTTAAATAAATAGTTAAAACACCAAAACCAATATGTATTATTAATACACACGTAGGTATATACATCTACACTCACACAGGCACACAAACATATGTAGCAAGTTTTTAAAAAATGCCAGGAAATTATATATATTAATATCAGGACATTGGCAAGGAAGGAGTGAAGAAGTAAGGAAGTGAGGTTCTAGCTGTTCCTATATTTTATTTCTTTAAAATGCAGTAAAATGTTTAAAATGCCTTATTTACTTTAAAAACTCATAGCCTATTCTCTTGAAAACTTTATAGCTTGCATTACATTACTGGCTACACAAACAGAAAACTAATCTTATTCTGCCCATTTTTACCTGAGATGCAATACTTACTAATATATCTCAATAAATCTGTTTTCACTAACATTTAGAAAAGGGTCAGCAGTTGTCAATCACTCTCAACCCTATGCCACTGAACTCAGTGTCCATACCTATGACTGTACTCATCATACTGTGGAGGGAGTGTAATGTGGTTACAGTCCCCTGCATAGTGTTTCTGGATTGGTTCCCAGAAAGGAGCAACTGCCCTGCACTACTGTGGCCTGGCACCCAACTCGACACTGAGTGTGGGAGTGAAACAGCCAAGGCCCACCTGCTTCCACCAAGAATAATGCCTTTTAACATGTCAAACATTTACATGTTGATTTATAATATAAAGTACCTTTTAATTTATATTATGCAAAGGGGAAATATATATGAAATCTTGGCTCTTCAGATTACTGACTCTTCACATATATTCATATTGTTGCCCTGAAGCTTCACCAGAAAATTCTGTATCCAGAATGAGCCACAGAATGCTGGATTCCCTGAATGAAAAGTCAATCTTATGCAAAGAGAACTTCATACTTCAAGAAAAATGGATCAGGAAATAAATGCCAAAGATTGCAAATTTGCCCCACAGAACATCTACAATGTTACTCAAACCTTTAAAATATAAGAGTGGTGAATTATTCAGTTAAATAACTGATGTGTCCTTTAAAAAAAATAAACTTTAATTTTAGAATGGTGTTAGAGATTCATGGAAAAGTTGAGTTTCTCCTATTGTTAACATCCTATATTATCATGGTACATCTGTTATAAGTAAAGAATCAAAGTTAATACTTACTCTAAGTCCACACCTTATTCAGATGTCCTGTTTTTTTTTTTGTACCTAATGTCCTTTGTTCCAGGATCCCATCCAGGATACTACAGTACATTTAACTGTCATATCTCCTTAGGATCATCTAGACTATAAAGTTTCTCTGATTTTGTTTTTAATGACCTTGACATACTTGAAGAATACTCGTTAGGTATTTTGTAGAATGTCCCTCAATTTGGGTATGCCTGATGCTTCTCTCATGTCAGAGTAGGGTCCTGGGTTCTTGGTAGGAAGACCACAGAGGTATAGTTCTATTCTTATCATATATCATATATCATATATCATGTATCATATATCATATATCACATCACATCACATCACATCACATCACATCACATCACATCACATCACATCACATCACATCACATCACATCACATCACATCCAGGGTACATGTTATCAACCTGATCTAGCACCTGGCTGAGGTCAAGTTTCTCCACAATAAAGTTACCCTTTCTTATTCTTTCTTTCCATACTGTACACACTGGCAGCAAGTTCCTATGTACAGTGCACAATTAAGGAGCAGGAATTATAATCCATCTCCTTGAGGACAGAGTATTATCTACATAAATTATTTCAAATTCTTCTGTACAGGAGAGTTGTCTATTGTCCCTCATTTGCGTATTTATTCAATCATTTATTTATATCAGTATGGATTGTGAATACATACTTTGGGATTTAATCCAATATTACATTATTTATTTTGTTGGTCAAATTACTGAGGGCTAATTATCAGTTAGCTCCAATGTCCCACCGACATACTCTTTGTTCGGTGTGTGGAGCACTTTACTTTTTGGCACTACCAGATGCTCCAGGCTTACTCTGTATATTTCCTGCCCCAGACCAGTACTAGATCAGTCATTTCTCTAAGCCATTTTTCTGGTTCCTTTTATTGGAGAATGGTATTAGAAACCAAGATTTAGGTACTGAGTGACTGCTTTACTTTTATAAATAATTTATTTTCCTGAGTTCAAAATCCACTGTGGATAATTAGAAATACACAAGAAAAAAAGGAGAAAATAAAAATCACTCATAACATTACCATTAGATGTAACCAATTATTATAATTTTGATGTATATTTCCCCATCTTAAAATACATACAAAATTGGGATCATTCATGTTTTTTATTTTGTTAATATTGTTAAATTTTATATGTAAAATATAATATATAACAAGCCTTCTATAGTAAAATAAACTTAATATAACTTAAGTTTTCTATTATAAAGTATTTTGTGGCTGCCCAGAATTCCACCATTGGATGGAACCGGTAGAATAACTATCCACAACTCATTATTATTTTATGCAAAAATATTATTCTAAAAATTGACAATTACAAACTTCTAGTTTGTGGTTCAAAATCTAAGAAGCTTGGGAAATGCTATTCCATCCTAACAGTAAGCAAAAAGCTGAACAAACTGAAAAAAATAGAAAACTCTTCTTAGATATGTAAGAGAAGTGAAGTTACAGGGCAAACCATTGCCCTCAAAATTGGAGAGACCAACAGGCAAATATAGAGAATAGCAACTTAGTGGTGTAGAAACCCAAGAGCTGAAACCTCCAAGGAACCAAGGCTGGAATAGGGCAACCTGACCTATAATTGATGAATTGCTGGAGGCTAAGTGTGGACAGTATAAGAGTAGAAAACTTGAGGGTGATGCAGTCATTCTTCCCTCCCTTTTGGGTTCACCCTGGGAATTCTACCAGGTTCTTAGGGAC